CCCACATCCTGTTCTTATGTAAAGCTATTTGTATTAAAGTCCAATTTCTAATGACTAAGTAAACAGATTGTTTTCTCGTTCGCTTTTAATAAAAAGAGAAGAGACATTGTCGAACCTTCAAGAATATTTATATAGCTTTAAAAGAAAAATTAAACTAGAACTTATCAACTTTTGTCTCAACTTATAGAAAAATCTAACCAGTTTTAGAATAATAATAACTTTTATTTGATCTATATTGATATAATTGGAAGTCTACGATAGAAAATGTATGCTCTAGTAAATATTAATTATGTTAAGTCATGAATGCGATGTTTTGCTGTTATTACTTTAATTCTTATCACTTGGGTGATTGCCCGAAAAGAATTAAAAAAGGCAAACAAAAAGAAACTGAGAAAAGAGTCTTATCATGCTAAAGAAGTAAGATGCAAGTCATTTGCAAAAAAACACACAAGAGAAGTTACAAGCAAGCAACGATCTACTTGACGACAATACAGCATCGAGATTATTAAGAACGTTTATCTTTAATTATTCAATCTTGGTAAATAAAGCTCTTCATAAGATTTCGAAAAAGCAAAAAGAAATTAATTTTGAGGATTATTTTCGTTTCAGAGTTCTTAATACATTATGTGTCAACTATTGTCTCTCATTATCTTGGAACTTTTAATTTGTTTTAGTTTATTTAGGAAATAGTGAGTCATGAATACAGAATGTCTAACGTTGATAGTTTAGGTATACGAAAGAAGCAAAAGTATATATTGTGTGCAGTAGTATAGACTTGAGTCTTTTATTCGTATATACTAATACTTTTTGAGTAAGAAAGAAAAATTGTTGCTCCGGAGTCTTTAAAAACTTCAAACTTGCACGATTGTTTTAGTAAGAAGTCTAGAAGTTTATTGTTGTCTCAAGCCTTTTCACTCTATGCTGCATTGGAAATTCGGTTTCAATCACATAAATTCTTAACTTTGAACACGGATTTTGGTTACAAGAGAAGAAATTTTAGGCTGTCGACTTTGAAACATTCTATGAAAGTTTGTGGAACTGACGCATAAATTTGAAAATAAAACACCTAGAGTATAAGTTATCAGATGGAGTTTTTCCATTCATCATGGTGTCTACCGCTATCCTTTAGCGATAATCCTTATCACTAGCTAAAATTAATGTTTTAGATCAGTCAATAAAACTATTTCATAGATAAATAAATGCGGAAACTTCGGATTTTATCCAAAAGTTAGGTGTACTGCAAAAAGTGTATCAGGCAGATGAGTTATTCTATTAGAATGTCGAAACAACAAAATTATCATGAGACATTAATCAATCTTTCTTTTCTTATAATAGAGTTATTTGTGTTGATAAGCAAAAACATTTAACCTTTTTATATAAAATGAAAGTCCTCGTCGTTAAAATGACAAGATTAGAATATTAGCGATGGTTGAATTGGTTTGGGGGAGATATTCAACTTTTAGTGTATCTATGATATAGGTTGGATGTTCACAATTGAAAATTTCAATTGAATTTATTTTTCTTTTTTTCATGATGAATGGATAGAGATCGACAAATTGCGTTAAACAAATTATGTTTCAAATTTTGAAGAAAGGTTTTTAAGAAAATTGCATGTGATCGGAATTTTGAATCTATTAGCTTATCTTTGAAGATAGTAGTAAGTTGGAGTCTTCGCTTAATTTAAAAAAATTTTTTTAAAGCTTGAAACATACTTTTTCCTAACACAACTCGACGAGCTCTATCCAGTCATCATCAAGAAAAGAAAAATAAATTCGATTAAAGTTTTCAATTGTGCGCATCCAATATATACCATAGATAAACTAAAAGTCGAATATCTCCCTCAAACTAACCCAACAGGCACTAATACGTTTAACTTGTTATTTTGGCGACAAGGATTTTCATTTGACATAAAAATTTTTAATATTTTTGCTTATCAACGCAAATACCTTCATTGTTAGTTCAAAAAGATTTCTAGAGAGTACTCCCATTTTGTGAGTACACAATAAATGAATTAGCAAAAACGAGGATCTAGTATAGTGCTCGGTTAAATATTAAAAACATTCATGCATTCGATAAATTAATTTTAAAGCATTTATCTTATTTAGAATTCTTCAATAGCATGGATACCTCTGATCAATCAGATGATGAGTTTCATGACGCAACATACGATAATATATTTTACGATACAACCTCTGAGGACATGCGTCTTGAAATTTTCTATCTTATCTGGCTTGATTCAAATATTACTGCCGAAGACAATCGAGACACAGAACAAAGGCTTCGCTCTATTATTAATCGTTTTAAAAAATTTCAAGATGTAAAAGAATGTCAAAAATATATTGAACATCAATCACAACAAGATCGAATAGTTATGATTACGAGTGGTAGTTTAGGGCAAGAAATAGTTTCTTCAATTCATAAACTTCGACAAGTTATATCAATCTATGTGTACTGTATGGATAAACAACGGCATAAACAATGGGCTGACAAATTTCCAAAAGTAAAGATTATCGTCATTCGTTTCCATAATTTTCACTCTATTATTCTACTTTGTTAATAGGTAAAAGCTATTATAACACAACTTGATGAGCTTATTTCTTGTATTAAAGTTGATCATAACATTCTGAAAATTGTGGAAGAACCATTAGCAATTAATATATTTACTACAGGTACATCAACCGGTGGTGTAAATGGTCAATTTATATTTTCACAAGTGCTTATTGATTGTCTTCTGCGATTGAAATCTACTAGTAAAGATCAAACTGAACTTATTACGATTTGTAAAAAGGCATATGAAGGTAATACTTTTGAAATGACCAATCTTCATGAATTTGAAAACAAATATTCACCTACAAAAGCCTTATGGTAGTACACACGAGATACATTCTTTTACAAGGCAATTAATGCTGTTTTACGTAGTGAAAATATTCATATGATATTTTTATTTCGTCAGTTTATTTCTGATATTCAACATCAATTAAAAGAAAATCAAGTTAAATCTCCCATAAAAGTTTATCGAGGTCAAATGATATCAAGTGATGAATTAAAACGTTTGAAAGAACATTGTGCACAGTTTATTTCAATGAATTCATTTATTTCTACTAGTACTGATGAGCAACAAGCTCGTGTCTTCCTCAATGTTCCTAATAGTGCAGTCGATTTAGAATCTGTATTCTTTGAAATTGAAGCCGATCCTAACACGGTGACTACAAAACCATTTGCTGATATTAGTCAACATAGTGAACATCCTGGTGAATCAGAAATACTTTTTATGCCGGGTTCAATTTTTCGATTGGAGAGTGTCATGCGAAGCAGTGAGAATTCTATATGGATTATTCGAATGAAATTATGTAGTGATGAAGATCATCATTTAAAAAAAGTTCTTACACATATGAAACAGCAACTTGGAAACGGAGGGTGTGGGTGTGGGCGTGGGTGTGAGTGTGTATTAGTATTTAAGAAGACCTACGACTATAGTTTCGACCTTTCTCAAGGGCCGATCCTCAGGTAGTTTTAGCACTGCATTATTTTATAATTTAAATTGAGAAGTAGAAGAACTTCCCACGTTTAATTTATAAACGTAAAGGGTGTGGGTGTGGGTGTGGGTGGATGTGGGTGTGGGTGGATGTAAGTGTAGATGATAGGAAATAGATCTTCACCCACATCCCCCACACCGACACCCACACCCACACCCACATCCACACCCAACGAATGAATGGTCAAATTCTTTTTTTATGTTAAAATTACCAATAATTTAAATGAACTTTTACTTTAGAAAGAACAATATATGTATCACTAATTATTTAGATTCGTATAAATCTAAATAAATGATAAATGAATGTTCATTTACCAAAGGAAAAAAAATGTTTATCAATAAATTTGATCGGTTACAAGCAAAATTAACTTTCTAGTGAGCAAATAAATGTTTGAATCTTTTTTAAAACTTAAATCTCATTTATCTATTTCTGCTGTAGTCATCATACTCTTTTATTTCACTATGACGATCTCAAAATGTAATCAACAGATACAATGAACACATGTTTGCTTCTAGTACGTTTAAAAGATTTCTCAGTTTGAACAAAAGCTATATTTGTTCTATTTTTTAGATAAATCAATGTATGACTATATATACAGATGTCAGTATTCATTGTTATCAAGAATCATTATAAAATTTTGTTTCTACGAACATAAATATTCTTGTCATGTTTCTCTGAAAGTTTTTTTTGTATGTTTTACAAATTATTGGATTAAAATACAAAATAAACAGATATGATTGATAGATGTGGATAAAAATAAATAAATCTAAATTTAATAAGAGGTGAATATTTCGAAAATTCAGATGATAATATTTATAACTATGAAAAAAGCTTTCTAAACAAGAAGAACTTAATCTAGCTGATAAAATACTTCACTACCTAGTGCTCAACTATGTATGTAAGAAGATTTGGTATAAATCATTTATAAAAAAAAGACAGTCAAACACGTACGAGATTATAAGTATCTTATTAGAACATACATATCTTTTTGATATAAATGAAAATGTCTCTTATTATATATTGGCTTATTTA